TTGGTGGCTTTTTGGATGTGCATACCCTCGATAGCCTGAGCAGTTTCACAGATGTTCCTAAAATGAACACGGAGATTTGAACTTTTGGATTTGCATGATTCTGTGGCATTTTCTGTATCAAGTGAATAGCAAACCATTTTCAGAGACCAAGCTGGAGGCTTATGAGAGCAGTTCCATGCCTGACACTTAGTCCCAGACAGCCTTGCACAGGGCTGAGGGTGGTGACTGATGGGGTCCCCATCGTCCCTGAATCAGCCCACCTGCTTGGTGCTGCCTCGCACCCTACCCTCTCGACACTCTTCTTTCTATATCCTCTGATCCTATACTTGCCCTGAGAACGCTACTCACCCAGATATGAACTACTTTCTGGATCTTCTCTTCTCTACCTCTTTCCTGCCTCTTTGCCCAAAACCATCTCTGTTGTTTTGTTGTACTAAACCACGTCGACTAATGGCTGCATCCTTTCTCTTGGGCTCCCTCCTCTTGCTGGGCCAGGTGGTCCCTACAGCGCCTCCACCTCTCAACTTCCACGCGAGTGTTAAGTCAGAGCCCCACACCTCACTCCTCTCTTGGCCTCACCCCCTGTCCTCCTTGTACTTGAACTCCAACACTTCACCCCAATTCCTGTCCCTTGCTGGGGCCCCCTCGCACCTTGGCCCTGCCCTTCAGTCATGAGCTCGCCCCCAACACTCCAGCCCTTGCAGGCTCCCGTGTCCCCACAAGGACCCCCTCTCCAGCTGGAGAGCCTTCAGCCTCCAGGTTGCACAATGGCATGGCATCTCAAGAAGCTCAGAGAAGGAGAGAGGGACAGAAGTGTTTGTTTCCCCCCCCAACTCACCCCCCAGCTGCCACTTTAAATATTTGCCTAAGCCTCTAGCAGCAAGTGTCCTAGGAGGAGTGAAAGAGGGGGAGGGGGCTCCAGGGAGAAAGGGGGAAGAGGCATCCTCCTCTCAACTGTGCGCAGCTTCAGCTGCGTGCAGGTGCCAGATGCAGGAGACAGCCTGCCTGCAGGGCCCACCCCTGCCCGCCCCAGGGCCCCCATTCCCGCCCCCGGTTGTCCTGGCAACACTGGGACTGATTGGCTGACTCACGAATACTGGACCTGAGCCAGGTGGGCAGCGGGCCAGCCGGAGAACCAAGGAGAATGGCAAGCATCTCGGGGGTCCCTGTGGGCATCTGGGGCAGGGGGCACATAGTCCAGCTGTGGGGCTTGTTCTGAGCAGGTGCTGTGCTTAGGGCTTGCCATCATCCCTGGCTGCTGGGAAAGGGATCTCTTTCTTGGAAAGAAGCCTCTGCTCTCTTGGGTCCTCAGTCTCCCCTGCAGGCTGCCCTTAGACTGTGGTTCTTACAACTTTGTTTTTTTCTTTCTTTCTTCTTTCTTTTTTAACTTGTTTTTGCCTATTTGGAGGTTGGGGAAGGAAGGGTGATCTCAAGTTTCATAAGGGAAGTTCAGATGCTGGCACTGACCTGGTAGAGGTTTCTTGTCTTCCTTCTCAGGAATGGGGGCAGGACCTTTCGCTGGGCATGCATGGCTGTCACCTCGTCCCCCACACCAGCCCTCTGCTGCAGGCTTTTCACATTTTTGGCCTTTACTTAGGCCATTTCTCCTTCCTGGAAAACGCACCTTCAAGGCCTCTTTACTTCTCTGAATACCACCGACCCTAAAAGGCCACACAAGAACCAATGACACCCCATCTGTGCTCACCACCCCAGCCTACGGCGCCCCCTCCCTCCTCCAAGATCGCCTAGCCTTCCTGATGCACTTTCATCTGCCACTTAGCAGGCACTGCTGTCCCCATCAGCTACATGGGTTTTTTTGGTTGTCTTTCTTCTCAAAAAGCCTGCCGGCCCTGGGACCAGCCCTGAGACCGTGCTTTCCTGAGGCTTCCCTCAGGGCAAGGAGCATGCACGCAGCCAACATGTAACTCTCTTCAATGATACTAAGACTGTCACCAAACATGGGGGCGGCTCCTGGTGAGGGGTCAGTAGTTTACTCCTTCAGTATGTCCTCAGTGCTTCACTGGCCAGCTCAGCTCTGGGACTTTGAATAAGTCATTCTGCTTTTCTTGGCTTTAGTGTGTTCATCTGCGAAATGGGTCTAATACAGCCTGTCCTGCCCCCCTCTCCAAGCTGTTGTGAGGATCCAATGACATCACGATGTGAAAGTCCAATCTTCATGACTATCATCATCTACTGCATCGCCAGGGCACCTCTTCTCACCTCTAGGACCCAGACGGAGACTTCCCTGGTGATCCAGTGGTTAAGAATCCGCCTTCCAATGCAGGGGACACAGGTTCGATCCCTGGTTGGGGAACTAAGATCCCACAGGCCGGGCCTGCGTGCTGCAACTACTGAGCCCATGCACTCCGGAGCCCTCATGCCATAACTAGAGAGAAGCCCTTGCGCTGCACCGAAGAGCCCGCGCATCACAAGGAAAGATTCCTTCCCAACAAAAGATTCCAAATGCCACAACGAAGATCCCGGATGGCGCAACTGAGACCCGACACAGCCAAATAAAGAAATAATTTTTTTAAATGGTCAGAAATTGGAAGCAAAATTTGTGGAGCTTTAGGGCTGGAGAGTATTCTTAAAAAAAAAAAAAGAAAAAGAAAAAAAGGGTAGGATCAGGGACTTCCCTGGTGGTCCAGTGATAAAGAATCCGTCTTTCAATGCAGGGGACGCGGGTTTGATCCCTGGTCAGGGAACTAAGATCCCACATGCCACGGGGCAGCTAAGCCTGTGCACAACTACTATAGGATCAGGGACTTCCCTGGTGGTCCAGTGATAAAGAATCCGTCTTTCAATGCAGGGGACGCGGGTTTGATCCCTGGTCAGGGAACTAAGATCCCACATGCCACGGGGCAGCTAAGCCTGTGCCACAACTACTAGCTCGTGCGCCTCAACTAGAGAGCCCATGTGCCGCAAACTACAGAGACCACGCGCTCTGGAACCGGCACACCACAACTAGAGCCCACGAGCCATGGAGCCTGTGTGCCACACTAGAGAAGAGAAAACCGGCACGCCACAACTAGAGAGAAGCCCACGCGCCACAACGAAAGATCCCACATGCCTCAACGACGATCCCATGTGCCGCAACTAAGACCCAACGCAACCAAAATAAAAATAGATAAATAAATCTTTAAAAAAACAGAGAGGAAAGAATAGGACCCAGACTCCCCCTTTCTGTCTGTCTCTGAGTTAAACCTCTCTGAGAATGTGGGTGATGGAGAACCCCATGGCAGCCACTCCTGTTTGTGCCTCCTTCCAGCCCCTCAGCCGCAGGGGATGAACAAGATTCACTCTGCCCTTTGTGTGCTGGGCAGAGCCGTGCCAGGGACGGGGGTGGGGGGGGGAATGGTTGCCCAGCTGCCCCAGCCACTCTCCCCACCCCCACTGCTTGTCTTCCCACAAGCTGGCATGGGGAGGGCAGCACGGGCAGCTGGATGGGCAGTAGCCAGTGAGCATCCAAGGTCAGGGGCATCCCTGGCTGGGAGAACATGGACTTAAGCTCAGACCAGAGAATCCCCTGCTAGCAGAGGCTGGGGACAGCTGGGGAAGCATCTTATACCTAGCGATCTCGGTTTCCTGGACTATAATGGAAAGAGCACTGAACTGGCAGCCCAGCCAACTGACTGCACCTGCGAGCTCTTGGGACAATCAAACACCCCCTCCACACCCCTGGGAAATAACACAGTATAGAGCAGCAGTTCTCAAACTTTTTGGCTGCAGGACCCCTTAACACTCTTTAAAAAAGTAGCGAGGACCCCAAAGTGCTTTTGTTTATGTGGGTTATACCTATTGATATTTACCACATTGATATTTACTGAGAAATTTTAAAATATGAATTAATTTAATGAAAATAGCAATGATAAACCCATTCTATGTTATAACATACATAACATAAAATTTTTTAATGAGATTAACTGTTTTACAAAGCATAAATATTAGGGAGCAGAGTGTCATTGTTTTACATTTTTGGAAATTTCTTTAATTTTGTTAATTCAGTTTAATAGAAGATACCTCTGGAAAATTCCAGGGTACTTCTATAAGAGCATGAAAGTGAAAAGGACAAATAATGTCTTAACACTGTTAGGAAAACTGTTTGGACCTCAAAGACTCCCTGGAAGGTTCTCAAGGGCCTCTGGGCTCCCTGGACCAGACTTTGAAAAACCCTGGTGTAGAACGGCTGTGGACTTTGGAGCTGGGCAGGTGGATTTAAATCCCTGCTCTTGTCACTTTCTTCTTCGGGTACTACGGGCCTCACTTTTCTCATCTGTAGAAGGGGATTAATATCAAAGACCTCAGAAGGTTGAGGCGATCAAGTAAGTAGAGTACACAGCACGTAGTAGATGTGATATCAAGCTGGGCTGCTTTCCTCCTGATGCGGGCTTCAGTTTCCTCGTTTGTTAAACAAAGGGCTGGACTGGAAATGTCCAAGGCCGTTTCCAGCTCCAACAGGCTGTGGTTATTTAGTGAGGAATGTTCTGGAATTCCACACATTCCCATTCCAGCTCCAGTGATATTTCCCCTTTCAGCTCCCACAGACACAAAGGCACATTCTGTTTACTAGCCTGTGGAGACGTGAACACCGATACACACATGTCACTTATGACACATGACATGCACATGAACTCTGCTTAGAGGCCGCTGAGCGCCAAGACATACGCACAGGTACACAGAGGTTCATGGATCTATACATAGCGCAGAAATGCCTGCCCGGAGGAATATGTGCCTGTGCCTGTGTCCGTGCAGAGACCGGTGTGCACGCGTGCAGGATGCACAAGGAGACCTCGCACACACGCACTCACGCACAGCCACGAGCAGATGGCCCCAGAGACCGCCCGCAGGGTGTGCAGCGGCCGGGGCCGCAACCACTCCTTTCAGTGGCTACTCCCCGCCGGGACTCCCCGCTCCGCCCAGCGCGCCCCCGCCGCCCGCCGCAGTCCGCGTACTCCCAGCCGGTCAGCCCTCGGCTCGCCCCGGGCTCCGCGCATCTTTGCATCTCTCCGAGGGCTCGGCTCGCGGGAGCGAGCAGGGGAGGGAACGGCCGCCGGCGCCCGAGGGCCCGAGGAGTCGCTCTCCGCTGCGGGCAGCTGGGGCCCTAGCTGCGGCAGCGGCTGCCTGTGGCGCCCGCGCGGGGTGGCCGAGAGTGGTGGGGCGGGAGCTCGCAGGCAGCATGGCGGGGCTTCGGGCCAGGCTGGGCTCGGGGCTCAGGCTGCTGGCGCTGTCCACGCTGGGCCTCTGCCTAATGCTGCAAGTCGGCGCCAAGAGGCCCCCCAAGACGCCCCCGTGCCCGCCCAGCTGCTCCTGCACCAGGGACACCGCCTTCTGCGTGGACTCTAAGGCAGTGCCCAGGAACCTGCCCTCCGAGGTCATCTCTCTGTGAGTTCTCTGGGGTGGGGTGGGGTGGGGTGGGAGAACTTGAGAGGGGAGGAAGGCAAAAACCTGCTCTGGGAGTGGGTGGGGAGAACCCCTGCTCCATCTCTACAAAGTGTGGGGACCAGGAGGGCTCCAGGGGGTCCTCAGGACTGGAGATTCAGGCATCAGCCCTGGCTGGGAGTTCTGCAGTCATGCAGGGTCAGCAGCCGTGGCTGGGAAAGCTGGTGTTTATGGCCAAGAATGAATCATCACCACCATCAGCATCAATGAGACCTACTGTGTGCAGGGCTCTGGACTTGGAGGGAGGGGGTTGTTTACATGAGCATGGGGGCCCCTGCCTGTGATGTCACACCAAGGACAGAAGACTTCTTGTGGGGGAAGGGTGGCAGCAGGGGGAGGGGTGGAAGTGAGATACATTCCTACAGTGCCCTGGCACAGGCAGATGCCTGCCACTGGTCTCGCCAGCCACTCTGCACGGGGCCAGCCAGCCTGTCACTTGCAGCAAGCAGCCTCAGGAACTAGACAGGCTGTGTGGTCCTTGAGAGCAAGATGCTAATCCACCACCCCCATCCCAGTGCCCCATCCCTCAACAGTACCCAGCACACGGTGGGTGTCTGGATGATGGAGAAGGTGCGGGTAATGGAACCTTCTTTGGGCTGAGGTCCTTAGTGCTCAGAGAGGCAGGAGGGGAGGATGATGAGGAAGGCAGGCAGCTTGTGAGAAGGGAAAGACAGCCTCAAGTTGGGGGAGGAGCCAGGTGACAGGGGGAGTTTCCAGGGCGAGGGTATGCAGAAACCATTGCCCTGTCCACCTCGTGCCACCCCAGCAGAGTCCTTGCATACTCCCCTCGGTACTGACTCAGGTGTCCCCTGCAGGACGCTGGTGAATGCTGCCTTTTCGGAGATCCAGGATGGAGCATTTTCTCACCTGCCACTGCTGCAGTTCCTGTATGGACAGAGCCTTGCTGAAGGAGGGCGGGGAGGGGTGGGGGCGGGCAGGGGAAGGGGCAGATCCTGGACTGGGGAGAGCGGAGAGGTTGTGAGTAGCCTTTGGAGGTTAAGAGGCAGGTGTCCCTTACTTTTTCTCCAATGAGAGAGCCACAAACTGAAGCAGCGGGGAGTCAGGAGGGTTGCAGAGACCTGCAGTTTTGGGGAAGGAAGATGGGGGTTGCCCACAAAAGCAAAGAAGCGGGTATTTGGGGCCCAGTTAGGAATGGACTTTCCTCCTCTGCAGATCCCAAAGAATTGGGTGCAATAACTTAGGTTGGTGCCAGAGGGTGGACACTGCAGGGGAGAGAGCTCATCTTAGAGACAAGTGACCCCAGGGATCAGGTTCTGAAGAAAAGGCTGGGGGACTGAAAGGGAGGGAAGACGGGGCTGTTTATGTTTGAAGCCCCAGTTGCAGGAGAGAATATATGTGGTTATCCTCAAACTTGCCATCCATCTGGGAGGGACTGGAGAGAGCTGGGGTGAGGGTGGGAGACAGAGCAGTGGGGAAGGACCCAGCTTGACAGGAAAGGTCTGCCCCTGGCTGTTCTTACCCTAGGAGTAAATAGGGACCCTGGGAGCTTCTGGGACCAGAGCAGGCTCCTGCCTGGACCTGCCGCCCAGGCTGCTCTGGGGTTCTCTGCTGGGGTCCCAAGGGTGGGAGGCATGGCCCGGGGGTGAGGCAGCCGGCTGGGGGCTGGTGAGGCAGGTGTGCCATTGGAAGCTCTAATCCACCTTTGTCTCTGCAGGTTACTCAATTCCAACAAGTTTACGCTGATTGGAGACAATGCCTTCACAGGACTGTCTCACCTGCAGTACCTGTGTGTGGGAAGGAAAGGGGAATTGGGAAGTGGAAGGGAGGAGGGCTGAGGGGGAGGGGGAGGGGGAGTGAGGAGGGCTGGGGGGAGGTGAGGGGGTGAGAGCCCTTGAATCCTCTGACTGCAGGGCCCAAGCAGAAGGTCATTTCATCCATCCCTCTGCCTAAACCATCCCGCCTGGTTGCCCTGTCACCACAGACTTAATGTCACCAGATTCAGAATGGAAGCCTGTCTTAGGGTCATGGGCTGGAATCTAGGTGGGGCATGGGAAGTAGGTGGTCGAGGGTCTGGGATCCCGACTGGTGGCTGAGACAAGTTCTCATTTTCTCCAGCTTCATTGAGAACAATGACATCTGGGCACTTTCCAAGTTCACCTTCAGAGGACTCAAGTCTTTGACACACCTGTGAGTACATCACACTCGTACACCAGACCAAAGCCCCCTGTCTCCTGTGGCCTTTGGCTTCGGTCACGATCTTCAGATGACCCAGGGGTCTCTCTTGCAGCTCACTGGCCAACAATAACCTGCAGACACTGCCTAGAGACATCTTTCGGCCCCTGGACATCCTGAGTGACTTGTAAGTCCTGAGTCCTACTTCTTTTGACAATGGCACAGAGGGACACGTCCCTGGAGGGAGGGGTGTGGGAGCCAGAATTGGGAAGATCATAAGGTCTTGACAGGCTGGGAGGGTTTGGGTTTGGGGCGGGGAGAAGTCTAGGTTGAGTTATATATAGATTGGCAGCCTTTCAAGTTGGGGTTCTTCAAGGCGTCTGTGGGCCCTCTTAAAATGCACACGAGACGTTATGTATATATGTTTTTTAAAACATGCGCTCTTAAAATCTATGTTTGATTTAAATCTATGTTAAAGTCTGATAGCATAGCCACAGTCACTGATCGGTATTTCTATAAGAAAGCAAAAGCCCTGGATTGTGGAAGGTTTGGAGGAATTGGGATGCAACAGATAGTTGTGCAGGTCATACACTGCAAAAGGCACCTGGCCAAGGAGGCAAGTAGGGGATGAAACTCAGCCCGCACTCTGCTGGCCAAGCACGTGTCCACGGGGCTGCACCCACCCCAAGGGGAACATTTTCCTAACTGGCACAAAGATGCCACATGAGCAACCAACAGCAGCCTTGACAATATCTACTTCTGAAAACCTAGATGGCCTGGGTGGGCAGAGCAGCTGGGAGCCTGTCCCTCTCTGTGTCCCCTCCATTACCCTCATGATCCAGGGACCTGCGGGGCAACTCGCTCAACTGTGACTGCAAGGTGAAGTGGCTGGTGGAGTGGCTGGCACACACCAACACCACGGTGGCGCCCATCTACTGCGCCAGCCCGCCCCGCTTCCAAGAGCACAAGGTGCAGGATCTGCCGCTGCGGGAGTTCGACTGCATCACCACAGGTAGGAAGAAGGTGCCCCACTTCGGGCATCAGGCTGGGCCTCCCCAGGGAGGCTCCCAGCACCCTGCCTTGCCAGTCGAGTAACCCTCACCACCCAGAAAGCTCTTACCCTTCTCCCTAACCACCACACCCCCGCCCGACCCATCCCTGCAGATTTCGTGCTGTACCAGACCCTGTCCTTCCCAGCGGTGTCGGCCGAGCCCTTCCTTTACTCCAGTGACCTCTATTTGGCTTTGGCCCAGCCAGGAGCCAGCGCTTGCACCATCCTCAAGTGGGACTACGTTGAAAGGCAGCTTCGCGACTATGATAGAATCCCAGGTATCTGTGCCTGGCCTGGTTGCGGTGGTCCTTATGGTGGGGTGGGCTCCATTGTTCCTGTTCATTGAGTTCCTATAGATAGAAGGATAGATGAAACATGGTCTCTGCACATACGAACTTTCTAGTCTTTGGGGGGAGGCTGACACATACACACATAACATCCAGATAGTATGTAGGTGTTAGGAGGAAGATATGACCACAATGCTCTGGGAGCACAAAGGAGAGGCCTACCCTGGGCAATCAAGCAAGGCTTCCTGGTGGAGTAGATGCTTAAGCTGAATCTTGAAGGATGAGGGAGAGGGAGGAGTGATGTCCAGGATCCTGGCTTAAGTAGCTGGACGGTGCCAGAGAACTAAGGAAGATATAGGAGTGGCCAGTGAGCTCAGTTTGGGATCCACTGAGTTTAAGCTGAGTCTAGAAGGCTGAGGGAGACTTAGCCAGGAGAAAAAATGTGGGAAGGGTATTCTGGCAGAGGGAACAGCATGAGCAAAGTCAAGAAGGTGTGCAACAGCTTAGCATGCGAGAGCATGCACGTGTAAACTGTTAGCAGCTCACAGGATGACAGCATAATGTTCAAGGTGGAGAGTGGCAGACGAGACCCGAGAGAGATGAGGACCAGGCCATTGACAGGTTCTGAGCAGAGTGTATGAATCAATCCAATCTGTAGTTTGGAAAATTCCCTCTGTGAGCAGTGTGGAGAGTGCTAGGCATGAAGCAAGACAGGTGGGCACACCAGAAGGGGTTCAGCTGGAGCCTGGACTGGGACAGCAGCAGTGTAGATGGAGAGGTAGAATAAGGGGGGATTGAACTGACACAAAAGGAAACAGAAAGTTTAAATTGCCCTGCATCTATGAAAGAACTTGAAGGCGTTGTATAAAAAACCCTTCTCCCAAAGAAGACTCCAGGGCCAGATGGTGAATTCCATCAAACATTTAAGGAAGAAATAATACCAATCTTACACAAACTGTATGAGAAAGCAGAAGGGAGGGTTGACAGGACTTAGGGACTGGTCAGCGGTGGGTGAGGGAGAGGGCGGCAGTGTTGGGGATGGCTCCCAGGATTCAGGATGGGGTGACTGGGTGGAGCCACAAATTGAAATCAAGAACACAGGTTTGGGGGTAGATATGGAGCTCAGTCTCGGCCAGCCAGAGTTTGAGATGCTTGTGGGTGTGGGGGGAAGGAGGGTCTAAGCTGCTGCTCAGGAGCTGGGGGGGTCATCAGCATCTGGGTGCACAGACCAAGGCTGGGGAAAGGACTCAGGGCGGTGACTGCCAGAGCCTGAGGCTCAGCACAGGCTTCCCTTGGGAAACAGGTGGGGTCACGAGGAGGAGGAGGGTGGTAAAGCAGCGCTGGCAAGCCCGGGAGGAGAGGTGATGACTGGGGACGCCAGCAGAGGCGAGAGTGTGTCCACACACGACTCCGGTGCCTGAGAAGGGGTCCGGGCAATCTGGTTGTGGTGCAGATGTTCTTGTATATAAAAGCCCTCTCACAAGTGGGAGCTCTTGGGGGATTGTGTTTTCATACACAAGGCTCCAAGGCTCTGTTTACCTAGGCTTTGTCACCAGCTGTGGCTGTGTTCAAACTCTTTCTCCTTCCCCTGCCTCGACATTCGCCAGCGGGGTAGCTTTGGGCAAGTCACTAAGACTCCGAGCCTCAGTTACTTTCTGTGTGAAGTTACAAAATAATAGGGTGTATTTCAGCGTGATTCATTGAGGCAATGTGTTCACACTTAGCACAGTGACTGTACACAATAAAAGTTCAATAATGGACATGACGGTTATACAGTCGGTCGATATCTAGCAGCACCTACTCTGTGCGCAGTGTCAGCTTATATTTGAACCTTGGGGTCAAGAGCAAAGGGAGGGTGATGCTGAGATTGATTATTCGCTGTGAGACAATTAGAAAGCATTTGAGCACCCAGTGGATATTCAGCAGGGAGAGAATACTGTAGCAAAGAGACTTAGTCTTTGCCCACCGTTGGAAGGGACCAACCCTCTTTTCTGAGGGTGTGGCGTGGGGCAGGGGCTGGTGGGCCCCCTGACGCTGCCTGACTCGCTTCCCTCCATCCTGCAGCCCCCTCTGCAGTGCACTGCAAGCCGATGGTGGTGGACAGCCAGCTGTATGTGGTGGTGGCCCAGTTGTTTGGTGGCTCTTACATTTACCACTGGGACCCCAACACCACGCGCTTCACCAAGCTGCAGGACATCGACCCTCAGCGCGTGCGCAAGCCCAATGACCTCGAGGCCTTCCGCATCGATGGCGACTGGTACTTTGCCGTGGCTGACAGCTCCAAGGCGGGGGCCACCAGCCTCTACCGCTGGCACCAGAACGGCTTCTACTCCCAGCAGGCCCTGCATGCCTGGCACCGTGACACTGACCTGGAATTTGTAGACGGAGAGGGCAAGCCACGCCTAATTGTGTCCAGCAGCTCCCAGGCCCCCATCATCTACCAGTGGAGTCGCACCCAGAAGCAGTTTGTGGCCCAGGGCGAGGTGACCCAGGTGCCTGATGCCCAGGCTGTGAAACACTTCCGCGCAGGTCGCGACAGCTACCTGTGCCTCAGCCGCTACATCGGCGACTCCAAGATCCTGCGCTGGGAGGGCACCCGCTTCTCCGAGGTGCAGGCGCTGCCCTCCAGGGGCTCGCTGGCCCTGCAGCCCTTCCTGGTGGGTGGCCGCCGCTACCTGGCCCTGGGCAGCGACTTCTCCTTCACACAGATCTACCAGTGGGATGAGGGGCGGCAGAAGTTTATGCGGTTCCAGGAGCTGGCGGTGCAGGCCCCTCGGGCCTTCTGCTACATGCCTGCTGGGGACGCCCAGCTGCTCCTGGCCCCCAGCTTCAAGGGACAGACACTTGTGTACCGACACGTGGTGGTGGATCTCAGTGCCTAGAGGGGGTCCGAGGCCTCTGGGTTCCTCGGAGCACTGGAGGCTGGGCGGAGCCTCCGGGTGAGCAGCATGTTTGCCTGTGTGAAGACACATGTAGCCAACCTGCATACATGCCCTCACGTACACATCCCCCCGGTGAGCATGGACCGTACCGTGGACTCTAGCCCAGGGATGCCACTTAATTTCCACTGTAATCAGCATGAAGTCTTGTATACGCACCAGACAACCCAGCCCCTGGTGCCCTCCCATATGTGGACGCCGGTTCACCCCACACCACATCTGCAGCCTCCCTTGCTCTGCTGCCTTCCACATGCTCTGGCCCAGGGAGGGGTCCTGGGAGGGCTGGAGGCTGA